TTGATAAATCTTAAGTGTAACAATTCTAACCTAACGCTTTTCAGCCATGAGGCTTGCCTGATATGCTCTGTAGTGTGGTTTTATCGTCCCTCGCATGGCTGGGGCGCTCTCCATCTCATAGACTGCGCGCGAGAGAGATCCTTTTGCAGCTTTAGAAAGTAAATGATGAAAACAGCTTTCACTGCATACTGTCGTTTTTGTTTTTACGTTCAAGGAAATACAGAAAGGATAAATACTGATAGTCCTCGGTCAGGCACTAGTACACTTGTGATTGTGACTCTTCAACTATCTGTTACACTGCGGCAAAGCTCAGCTTTACGCTATCACGACGTTTTTTCAGGGGCACCCAACGAGAGTATAGTTCAAAACCACATAAACATAGCATTGTAGAACGTACTTTGGTATTTACACGGTAGATAAAGGCTTATTTTTATCCCCTAAAAATTTTTCATCTGTTCGGATTTCCTAGCTGAAAGTATAGTGATCCGAAAATTATAGGGATCAAAATTTACCTTTTCGAAAATTTCAGCCAGAACAAAAGGCTCCCGAAAATTCTAGGTGACCTTTTTAGGGTAAAAATCCGTTAAAGATGGACAATTCTACGATTTTTTTGAACGTCGAAAATCCTAGGAGAGGCAGACAAGCGAGAAATTTGTCAGAAACTGATCCGAAAATTCTAGACCTCAAATCGTCTTCCGAACAGATAATTTTCCGAAAATTGTCGTTGGGTGCCCCTGTTTTTTTAAGACGACGACTTTCCGAGTTTGTGTTCAACACTACCGGCGATATTCGTGATCTTTGATACTTGGCGGATTGAACGTTTCTCTCGGCTTTTAGTGACATTAATAATGCCAATGTAGCCGGGGTCAGAGCTTTTCTAAACCGCATTTATTGCGATAACAAATTGATATTCACGCCGCTGTCAATACCGTTCTGATAAGTGCTCTGAATTAGATTTTGTATTCGATTTACCATCTTTCTAAGCTGGAAAAATTTCGTAGACTGAGAGACAGTCTGTCCTAATAAAACGTTTCCAAATTGATGTAAACGAGCTTTTGATTGTTTGGGCGTGACTATTGTATTAAAGGCTATTATCTGATAAGTTTGTTTCTCTCCTTTTTTTCACTGATGATGCTGCACCTGGCTTTCTTTTGTGGGTTTTGGGGGGTCAAAGGGAAATCCAAAATGAAATTCACTGCACCGCAAAGTAAGGCATAATGTACTGCCTAGCTGAAAATCTGTTAATGTGGAAAATTCGGTTTTATCAAACACTTTCTTCACTGCTTGTAAACACAGCCGGGTTGATAAGATCACAGGCTTATTTCTCATAACTCGGCTGACTTTTAATATAGCTTCCATGAAAGGCGAATTAGCACTTAATCTGAACAGTCATCTTCGGCGGTGGACCAAGTACGGATTTTAGTACTTAGGGAAATCTTTTTCCTCATTATGTGAGCTATTTTTAATCTTTTAATCCGACAAGGTTTGTTTCTCAGTCAAGTTTTTGTTACAGCTTTACGTGGTTCAAAGACGACCGAAGGTTTCGCTATAAGTCACGGCTGAACGATACCTTCGATTCTTGTTACGTGTTGTGTCGCTCGCTTGTTTTTGTCGTCCGCATGGGAAGTCTTTGAAGTATAAGGTGAGCTTGATTCCTATCTGCAAGGGCTCGCGAAATCTCGGCTATAATTTCACCAATGAATTAAGTTTTCCAATGTCTATTTTGCTATACGCGAATGTCGACTAACACGGAGCACATAACTGTGTTTTCTGTTGCTGTTTATTTCCTTGTATTTCACATTCCTCTACTAATCTCTTTTCATGAGATAGACGTGGTCGATCGTCAATTTCTTGATTGATTTCTAACCTGTGAACTGGGGTACAGATTGCTCGTGTGGGAGGGATTGAGGTTATTTTGTCCGCCTTCTTCTTGACCGCGCGCGAGCGGTCGTCCTTCTTTCCAGCCAGGCGCAGCGAGCGAAAAAGTGAAAGTGTGCAAATTAATGGTAAAAAGGAGGAGAGATTGGGCTGGAGAGTCTTCACTTGGGCTTCCGCCATCGTTCCTCGCCCTTCACACGCAGAGTGACGTGCTCTCGATCTCCGTGATTCAAGAGAAAAATAAGGGACTTCTCGCAGTATAGCCTCTTCTACCCTCGACTCCCACCCCCACGGGCAACTGCACTCTCCGTGGATCACCCGATGAAAGACAGCATACTACGCAAATCAAACAGAAAAATACGGGACTGGTACCATTCTTCCTTTCTTTTTTTTGTGTTTGTGTATGGCGTCCACTGATCACCAATAACATTGAAACTGTTAAACGTCTTGTTTAATCTCAACATTTTTGTGTTTCCAAGATCTATTAATCCACATTGCCAGTTCAACCTCGTTCAGGGGCACCCAACGGCAAATTTCGGGAAAATATCTGTTCGGAAGACCATTTGAGAACTAGAATTTTCGGAACATTTGTTGTAAAATTTCTTGCTTGCCTGCCTCTCCTAGGATTTTCGAACATCTCCAAAATGGTATAATTACCCATTTTAAACGGATATTTACCCTAAAAAAGGCCACCTAGAATTTTCGGGAGCCTTTTCCGGGCTGAAATTTTCGAAAAGGTAAGTTTTGATCCCTATAATTTTCGGATCCCTAGACTTTCAGCTAGGAAATCCGAACAGATGAAAAGTTTTTAGAGGATAAAAATATGCCTTTATCTACCGTTTAAATACTAAAATACGTTCAACAATGCTATGTTAAGTGGTTTTGAACTATATTCTCGTTGGGTGCCCCTGCTCGTTCCCAGATTCTCTTTCCTACCTTCTCTCTCTCGCTCCGTAGGGACGGGTAGGAGAGAACCCTGGGAACGAGTAGTCTAGAGGTTGATTTCCTGTTGAGGCCGAACACTCCGTTAGAAATACCAACACGTTTTGGAAACTTCGTTATTGTTAATATTGACCTTCTTCAGCCATGTATTTTACTGAGATAAAAATGGAAAATAAGTTATTGGCAAATCCGATTATATGGTTTAATTTTTTTCTCCTTTTCGAAGCTGGGTCATGGTTAAAGCTGTTTAGGCATGTGTCAACTCGAAGCTCGTAGCGATTAGGGTATTTATAGGATTTAACCAGTTGATGACCATCCGGCTAATTTTGGATTCAACTGGGTTATTGTCATGCGCAGGAAAACAAATGGTACCTTATGAAATTATTGCTCAAGAGGTTTCATATGAATGGTAACAACAAAAGATTTCTTCCACGGACGCAAAAGTCCCTACAAGACTGTCGAGCGAGAACTGGGGAGAGTAAAAGCGCCCCAAAATGAACGTTCAGCGGCAATTTCCAAACTTTGTTGTTCAATTTTATTTTCTTTTAAGATTATAGATGAGCAAACATAAAATTACAGGCCCCAGTTGTTTAAAAGATGGATAGCGTTATCCACCTGATAAATTGCTATCCAGCGGATAAATATTAGGGAAACCAATTTCACTATCTGATGGATAATGATTTATCAGGTGGATAGCACTATCCATCTTTTACGTTCAATAAAAAACGTATATTTGATAACAACAACAAATAATTTTATCTGCACATCACAAATTGGATCTTAGAGGGCGGCACGAACTTAGTCTCTTGCGTTAATTGTCTTATGATGGTTAAAGAAATAAGGGAGGATTATTATTTTTAACTTGTATCGAAGCTATTCTGGTTTTTACAGACTGCGGGAAATATTTTTGGCCCAAAACGAACGAAAATAGTTTTCACCGAAAGTCTAGCTTTCGGGCAGAATTCGCGTAAGTGTGTATGTGATAGATTTAGCCATGTTTTCGTCGCCTAAACCATTAAAACAACGATTCTTACAATACTGAAAAAAACCGGCTAAAATCTTTAAATAAGTGCTTATTTATAGGTACCTTGAAAGCTTTCAGCCGCGGGTGGCCACAGAATCGTGGGCGCTAATAGTTTTGAAATGATTGAAAAGAAAAACCTCTTTTTCAGCGATTTTAACAGGCTGCTTGCAAACATCTTTAATTTCCCTGGATACTAGACGTCTGCAGCAGACTAGATTTTAATGTAAAGCGACATTTATTTCTGAAAGTTGTCGGCCAGCCATTCAAACCAAAGACTCCTTTCTATTAAATTGTGAGTGATTATACTCTCCTTGACACGTAATTAAAGACTGGCAAATCTCTGTCATAGAAACACTTTGAAAATGAAAATTTAAGGTCAATTTTAAGTTTTCATCAATTGAGAGGCCAAACTTTATTTAGAGGCGTAAATGTAGCAGAGAAGCTAATTTTTATAGAGAAAGTTTGTTTCGTACGTTTATGGATGGCATGATAAAAAAAACCCGGCCATGGCTTGCATCTTGAGAACTTTTAACCCTCTTCTTCAGTCTTCCGTGAAACTGGCAGTAACTCAATGATACCTTAATTTTCTGCTTTCGATAAAGATTCCTCTGACTTCATCTCACTGATAATGTAGGTAACAATTCATGCATGAGTTATTGAAGTGAAGAAAGCTCAGCACCGTGATTATAAAAAAATATATTTTATGCTTGTAACGTTCCGCAGTTTCTAGTTTGTATGATACGTGGTGAATAATTTCTTTAGCTGTTCTCTCGCCGTTTGAATAGATTTTTTATGAGCTTGTTATTAGATGCTATTTTAGCTCATTGCCTATTTTTTCGTTCGCCTTCTTTAAGCCTTTTATTAAGAAACGCAAAACAAAAGGAAGGACGCTATCTCCAAACCCATAGAACTTCCTGAAAACAAATTGGTTTTTCAGTGGGTGGTGTAGTCATTGAGCAATGGGATTTGAAAAATCCTTGGAGAAACACCTTAATTTTATTACTGTTTGCTAATCTTCTTGCAGCGGTTAGCGTGTTGGAACCCGAGGTTGGAAGGGCACATCTAACTTATAAACACTTTCCCGTCAAGAAATTTTTTTCGGTAAAACCTCTCGTAAATAAAATCGCTGAATGTTAAATCGCATCAAAATCCGAGCATGTTGGAAGGAACAGCGATTATGTGGCGACAATATTTGGGAAAAACAAGTGTTGGAGTTGACGGTGGTGAGACACATAGATCTCAACTTGATTCGAATGCCGATGTGAAAACTACCATGACGGTAGTTGCGTGCGAAATTAAGCGAATAAAACGTTGCAAGTAATTTCCGCTTTTCTTTTTTTTAAATAAAAACCACCGTCAGAACTTAACCTAATCTTCTCCCTTTTTCGTCACGCGGAAAAAGTCTCTGTTTGCGAAAAGCCAGTTGGCAAACATAATTTTCTGTGGCGTGTTGGCGTTGGAAGTAACATCTATGCGATAACGCTTTTCTCTTTCAGTGTCAAGAGCCACATAATTATCTCTTTATATAATACTCTTGGTTGACGGGATCTTTGTATTGTAACGAGAAATTACTTGTTAGTCACGTTAGTAAATGAACCATGGATGTGTTCACTTGTTGTGGTAAGACTCGACCGCCCAAAGTTTAAAATAATAATGAAGATTTATCCGTACGAGTAGCTAGTAAAATGAAACAGTTGATAATAAACTAAGAACGTAGCTTAGAAAATTAAGCTTTCGATCAAGCCCTGTGATTCGGCAAAACTCTAGCATCAAGCGAGAGCCTGGCAAGATTAGTACGGGGGTTTGAAAGTTGACATGTCCCAGTTGAAGGTTTCAAAATTCATCTTTGTTTTAAGTGCTTGATATTCCATTGTTGCCTTGACCTTTTCACGCTCTTTTTTATAAGGATGCTGTTTTTCCGGCCCAGGTTGAATATTCTTATTTTCCGACGATTTTAGGCTGAGAATATTCTTGTGTTATTCTTAAGTTGCATTTTAAAAAAAAAAAAATTTTGCGGTTTGTTCATTTCTTTTGTGCTGTATACTATAGATATGTATTTCATGTACGGTTCATAGAACTGTCATTCAGTTAGCATTCAAAATTGGGCTGTAGCTGGTGCAAGTTTCTTCGTTTTGTTGGGTAGTTTCGCCGTTGAGGGGAAGCAATAATTTTATACGGTTAAGTTGAAAACATATATAGTTCAGATTTTCAACACATAAAAATGATATCCTTTTCAAAATGTCAGCGTCGGATTTATTCTTCAAATATTCTTAAAACTTCGCGAATTTCAGCCTCGATACTCTTATAAAATATCAAAAAAGAGTGTACATTAAAACCGAACAAGCTCCTCTCTTTTGGTTGGGTGAAATTGCTATCTTATCTTCTTTGAGACATTTTCGTAGTGTATCTAAATGCTTTATAACACGATAAAATATTAAAGATTGAAACTAAAAGAAAACTCTTTTTCGCGATTTGTTACCAATGCTTTGGAAAAGTAACGGCCCAGGTTAATCGAGTTTGTGAGTTTTGAGTCGTGTTTTTATGACCAAATTGAGAATCCATTTTTGACCCTCGACCTGCAGCGGCAGATAAGTCCTTCATTTTGTGTTTATTCCCATCTTAACCCCACTGGTAACGAACAGGCCAGATTACTGTCAGAGGCAAACAAGCACAGCGTAGATCGCTGCACGAAAGAAACAAAACAAGACGCTACGGAGCGAACACTTCGGCGTCGTGGTTGTGGAACTAATTAATTGTAAATGCGGAGGAATAGTAAGAAATCAAATATGGTAAGAGTAAGGTGTTAATTTGCGAAATTATGGGATTTGCCAGGATATTCTAAAAAGAACAACATCCAAGAGGCCTACTTGCCAAAAACTAGCATTTCGGGACAAATTGTCTCCGAGATATTAGCCCAGTTATGCTCTGATGACTCCATGCAAATCCTTCTAAAAAAACAATTCTCTATTTTTCTTAGTCACATCAGGCTTCAAAAACAGCATAGCAGTCTCATGTACTGATTAAAGATATGTAAGGCATGGGTAAGGAGTCAATTACAGCGAGCATGGAATTGGGTAAAACTCAAAGTCACGAGTTCGAATGTTTTGAGGATAATTATTCACTGACTACCAGCACGCAGGGATGTCGGATTAACACAAGGAAGTTTAACACCAAAGAACATAGCCTTTACAGAGCTTTAAAACACAGCATCCACCAACACAAACTTGACTTGAACTTTGAGTAAAACTAAACAGCCTCTACCAATAATAACAAACTCTCACGACTCACTCATATCTCACGACTTCCGCGAACTTGTAAACACAATACCTGAAAATCGACCTTCGTCACACTTGACTAAACACAGCAGTCCAGCTCGTGGGAAAAAACTTAGCTCTTCAAAAGAACTCGCTTGGAACTTGTATACCGTTTGACATAAGGTTCTAGAAAATTCTAAACAGCAGGCAAATAGTAGTAGCTTTTCGACATATTTTATGATTTCAGTAACTGATGCAAATCTGCTGACTCATGCTGAAATGTAAACATGCCTAATTAATTATTCATGAGTAATCCAAAAACGTAGAGAACGTTCGAGAAAGTCACGCAACGCATGAAAGCAATTTTACTACGTAACACTCAACAAAGACAAAATGTCTTTGTGCAGCATTTTGTAACTTTAAATTCATCATAAAATAGTTCGAAAGGAGGGCTCACTCGTGAAATGTTTTTCAACACTCGAAGAGAAATTTCGCGTCTCTGCGCGGCCACGAAATATCCTCTATTTAGTCCTCGAGTAATTAAAGACTAAACTCGAAGTGATCTCAAGATATCACGAAGTAGCCCGGTCTCATTTCGTGAAATTGTTGAAACAAGCCGAAAAGTCACGAACTTGCACGCCCAATCTTGTCCCGAAACAAGTGCATCATTTCATAACTATTTTTCATATCCCAAACTACCTTGGGTCGCAGTAGCGCAATCGGCTAATCCCTCAACCTTAGAGTCTCCTCTGATCTCACGGGTCACACAGGTGAGTCGGTTCAAACCCCGGGAAAGCCAAAATAATAATTCTTTCTTCCTCGAAAAAGTTAAATAAATAAATCAAAGAAATCGAACTGGTCTCGAGATATCTCGAATTAATTCGGCTCTCACTTCGTCAAATAGCCGAATAAAACCGAAAACCTACAGACTTTGCATGCCCAATCTTGTCAAAAAATTGTAACTTTGATACATTCCTGAGCGTCGCGAAACCTTTACTTCGCGCTCCGCCGAAGTAATAACCAGCGTCCCGTGGTTTATTCTCTCATCTCCAGGGCAGAATAATACCGGTAATGTATTCCCATCAGCTGGAAGAATATTTTGGCATTTTTCCCTAAGTGTACACTGCACAGCGTGAAAAGACAGCCAGCGAATTCGATCTGTTAAATCCTTTCCACACGCGCGCCATTCCTTCTCATTCTATTTGACGTTTTCCGAGGCTAGACGAACGCTTGAAACATCAACGTTAATTAGCTTGGCCAGAAGTCTATAAACTGCAAGGAATCGAAGCGACATACAAGTAGGTATGACATCATTTTGTTCTTTGAGGTTTAGTCGATTTCACCATTCTTTAAAAGTTGCAACTGTTTCTCCTTCGACCTGGGTACACTTCGATTTATATGAAAACCATTTGTGGTTTATCTGAAGAGAGTGGTTGATAAAAAGCTTCTTTCAAACTCGTTCTGAACTTTAATTTAAGATCGCAATTGAGTGACCAGCTGTTAATTAGCTGCTTCGCTAAGGAAGCGAGCCATGTGGAGAGTAATCTTAAGACGTTCTTCACTGAATAATCTCCGCGTGGTACTACTAACTGTAGGGATTTTCCTTGTAAAAATCTTTGCCTCTACGAGAAAAAGACAGAAAAACACGATTGTATTTAATTGCTTCTGTTTTTTATGAATACTTGAGTTTATTTGAGTGAATAATGCTCTGGTTCTCTCAGTGGTTGACCCTATGTCGCACGTTTCTGACAATGTTTGCGTGATTACAAGAGTGATGTTAATATATATTTTATTTTTGTTTCATTGAGCTGAGGGGCGTGCGATAGACTTTCTGTTTGTTCACAAAACAAATGATTCTTTGACATTGGCGACAAATCGAGAAGATATTTACGCAGACATTTATCGATGACACTTTCGGTTTTTGAAAAGCTTAGTCAGAAACTCTAGAGGCGCATCTCGGCTTCAAAGGGATGGTTAAAACTCCCTGACCTTGGGTGAAAATAAAGACAGGAAAAAGCCCGAAACTGCCTTCGCAGTGTGATACCATTCTTGCTGAATTGAAAAATTTTGAATATATATGATCGTATTCTCCAGGGCTGATCTCCGTTAATAGTTCCTGAAACTTAAACGCAATTTTTTTTTATAAAGGACGCACTAGATAAATGTCGAAGTTGTGTTTAGTGTTACAGATGCGTGCGCCTTTTTCGGCCAATGAGCCTGAATAGGTTTTCTTTTGTGGGGGAGGGGGGGGACTAGGGCTATCGGGAAGATCTTGGAATTAATTGTTCACTGTATTATTATTGGCCGCGCGCTTCAATTGTCCAAATTGTCCAAATTCTTTATAGTCAATCGTGTTTATTTTTGTACAAATGAATTCCTGCTAAACGTTTGAAGATGAGGCTGTCTAGATTTGTTGTGATAAGCGAGGTAATTAATTTTATGCTCGTGTCTAAATTCCAATCAATTCCACTGTCGATTGAATTTTTGACGGTGGTAATCCACCTTACATTAAATTAGAACCTAAGGCAATTGAAAGCAACAAAATTAGTGTTATCATGCCGATAATTTCGGAAAAAGCTTCTAAATTTTCGAGCACAGCCTTACAGGTTAACTATTGTGGCGATTTGCGTGTTTCCTGGTTCGTTTCGTGAGGTTATCTATGATCTTAACGCGGAACACGTAATGAACATAAAGCGTTTAGAATTATCTTTTGTTCTCTGAATGCTTCCTGAATTTGCCAAAGAACATATGTGGTTCATTAGTTTCTACCACTTTAACCTGCTAAACTCGTAATTAGAGAAAAAAAAACCTTCATTTAAAGACTAACGCTTACCCTTGGCTATAGACTAATAAAGTAGGCGTCCATAATCTGTTTTCGAGATAATTTGTAAAGTATTAGTTTTATGCGCATTTACTAGAGAGCCTACCCTGGGTTCCGGAGGATCGGGAGCCTAACCAAACTGTAAGCACGGTTTATTTCTGGTATTTTGAGAACGGACCTCATGAGCCAGGGTATAGAGAGCCCAGGTAACTCGAAATACAGGTACATTCAAAAGTGTTGCTTTTTTGTGTTCGTATCAGCACCGTTTTTCCGTCATGTTGTTGTGTTTCATTCAAAGAATAATTTCGCTAGAAATTTTTTGCTTATAAGGAAGAAAACTTCGACGGTAACATTCGCAGACTTCGAGATATTAACCACATTACATATGGCACATTCGACTTGAGGGCTGCTGTTGAAATCAACTATAGCGGCCAGTTGCTGATATGTTAGACAATTACCGTAAAGTTCCGAAAGTAACGACCCTCGTTACTTTCGGATTTAGCAGCCTTTTCCTATCGCTCGCTTCGCTCGGGTAGCTAAAACGTGTATCGTACAGGGGCCGCACGAAGTTACAGGCGATAATAATATAGCGACAATTGTGAAAACATCCACATTTTTTATTTGGAAAAACTTATTTCATGTTGTTGCTTTTTGAATATATATTCAAAAGAATTGTTTGATTACGTTGTGGGTATTTTGAAGAAAAAAAAGATGTAAGGTACCTTTTGAGTTACATAAAGGAATGTCAACCATCATTATAACCGTTAACAAATAAATCTATCATTTCCCTTATTTCCAGCAAGAAGGGAAATCACTTTTGAAGTCGCTACTCGGAGGGTCGTTATTTTCGGCGTGTCACTACTGTTGCAATTTGCTCACACCTGTTAACTTTTTTCGCTACTTTCGAAGGGTTGCTACATTCGGGGGGTCCTTACTTCGGGAACTTTACGGTAGTGGCTGATATTTTTTTTCTTTTTTCAAGTTCAAGTTGGAATATTCTAGCATTTTTGAAGCCATGGCGCACAGTATCGCGTTTTTTTATTATTATTGCACCCACTTATATAAAGCAACATTTCACTTGTCAGCGTGAAATACATATAAAAAACGGTGTAAGGGGCCAGCGGTGCTTTGAATATTGGCAAAAACTTTTTAACTGACATCATATCCGGAGATTATTGGGGTATCTGTGACTGCGTTGCCTTCCGGCTTATGGTTCGGAAGTTTTGCCTCCGCACGCCAAAAAAAAAGCTAAAATAACCAAATCTATTTTAAAAAGCTTAGACAGAGTTAAGGAAATTTTACATGTTCTGTTCTTTTCAAAAGCGGGCTAATCCGCTTATGTGACTAGATTAAAAGCAAGGTGAGGTTTAGAAATAGAGTTTGAGGTTCTTTGTTTTGGTTTTGAAAGTTTTTAAACCAGTCATGATAATTTTTGTCGCTTTTATTCCATATTCGTAATCTCATTCTGATTGAGATCGTGGAACGATAAAAATGTGCTTTCAGACTTAAGTGGTGGTGTAGTGTCCTTTACTTTGACACCTGTTCTTGGAGAAAGCTAAGCATTGGAATACAAGACTTAAGGTTTGCCATGTTCGTTGGTTTGGTTCTTTGTTGTTCATATTTGATTACAAGTTTTCTCCAACTAGAATTATCTGCTTCTCTGGCATGTTTCAGTCGCTTTTTTGTGTGTGAATGCAGCATCAAAAGGGTGGTAAACCTGTGAGTTGTTGTTATTGCTTTCGTGTGGCATTGTGCGCTGGTTCGCTGATGAAACCTTTCACTTTGACCATTAATTTGAAAGCCTCTGAGCGCGGGTACATTCCTGTGAGGCAGGAATAAGCAGTTCTAATTACTGAGTTTATGAATGAATTCCTGAAAAGAAACCATTTCAGTGAAAAGCTTCTGAACAGTACTTTCTAGTGATACTGTTAATTGTGTTGTTTAAGGTTATTCTAGACTGCAAAACAGTCCTCATTTTGCGTATTCAAGTAGGCGCAAACAGTCAAACAAAAGGTCTGGAGCAAGGCTGAAAACGGAGAGTGAGACTAAGACTCTTACGCTACGCTAAGCCTATTTTTTTCCGCTCTTGTTTCGGCGGGTGAAACAAGAGCCGAAAAAAGCGGCTGTTCTCCGCAGGCTAGTTTTGAGAAAAAACCGACTATTTTGCAGTCTAAGGTGATTCAAATGATTCATTTTGTGTTTTGTGGATGAAATCTTTTAGTTAAGATTCTTTAGGTTTTATTTAAATAAACTGAGCTCCTGGGCGATACTTTCTTCTGGTGCAAAGTGGCTGTAACTTTAGATCACAGCATTCATGCGTGTCTTCTCTCTCGCGCGTGTCACGAAAGCATTGAGCGCGCCTGGTGCAGGCCTTTTCATGATGTGTTTGTTAGACGCCCAAGTTGTAGATCATTGTGCTACTATGGAAAAACCACTCTATAGGGAAAAACAACTACCTACAGTGTGTTCTCAGTTCTGTAACATATATTTCTATTATTTTTTGCAGTTTCTATCGCCTACTCCTTGTCTGTGAGTTGTATTTTGTTGACATGAGGCCAGCTTTAAGCCATGCCAGGAAGCTTAGAGTGTTATTTCTACTTATAGCATTATCTTCCTTTTTAATCATCGTATTCGAGGGAAGCATTCTCATGGTATCTGACCACGGTAAGTACTATTTTTGTCGGGGGAGGGCGGGCACTCCGAATTTCAAGTGACAGGGATGATCGAATGGGGGCCATCCTCGGAGACCCAGGGGCAGATACTGGGGGCGAGGGAAAGTCTAAACGGGCGGAAAAAAAGTTGTCTGGCACCAATCAGAAGCCAGAAAGGCGGCGACCGTTTGGAACTGGTCTGGTAAGACATTTCACTTTTCTTCGTGACGGGGATGACTTTCGAGGATGAATGGGGCAAAAATCAAAACTCCAAAAAATCCCTGGATCAAAAATTGACCCCCGAAAAATCCCATGCCGAATTTTCCAGTACACGGCGTTAAATGATATAACACGAAATTTAAAAACGTTAGAAATTGAATGAAGTATTTGTTTCTTCGTAACAGCATGTGAAGTTATCATGATATGCGGGCTCTACCACGAATCCTCAAATTGCTTTGAATACCCCAAGAATCCCTACTTAAAACAAACCAGCCCATAAAAATACGTGCCAAATCTTCCTTCCCGAAAAATATCCTGGAATCGAAAATTTCTAACCCAAAAAAATCCTTCGATCATCCCTGTCATTCGAAATCCTGAGTACCCCCGATTTTTGTACGTTTTAAAACCTTGCACCATTTTTACTAATGAAATAATTGTACATGTGCGCCCCCCAAAAATGAAGTTAAAAATAGATAAATAAAAACTTACCGCCTCGTAACAGGGTTGGAAAAGATTTCAAGGTACGCTCTACTGCCGAGTTTTTTTTAGGGCAAAATTTCGAGCGCGCTCGCACACAACGGCAGAAGGGGAGAGGCGTGTAGCCCTCGCGCGCTTTATAAAAACCAACCAAAAACCAACTGGCGCCTGTCATACGGGCCAAGGTTTGAAAATTAAAAAGCGCTTTTAACTGATTTAACTCGCTGATCTGATAACGATTATCTAGGGTCGAATCAGTTTCTATTTACAAGAGGTGTATTATCGACTAAAAATAGCGTGACCTTGCTCCTTTAAAAGGTTCTGAGTCTCGTTCTTAAGCTTGGAGAACTGAAACGTGGTAGTCATGGCGGCTTTATATAGAGCGTTTTCACTCACGTATCCAGCATCTATGCTAATTAATTGGCACAAAATAAAGTGTTTACATAAGAAAAGAGTTCAACTCCCACAGGACTGGTTTGGAACACCAACATGGCCGCCGGGACGTCATGAGAAAACGCTCTTTGGTGAGAAAATGGTCAGATAACATCCTTATTTTTTGTCTTTTTTTTCAGTTGTACGTTTGCCAAATTATATGCGTCCGGAAATTGCTTTAAGTGTCAAGGATTTAAGACAAGATGGGCTCCAGAATACTCTTAAGAAGAAAACAGTCCACGGCCGAGCTCTTAGTTCACTGGATAAAGAGAAAGAATCCACTTCAAAAGTACCGGAGAAACAGAGATCGCTTCTTTGCGGGACATCATGGCAAAAAGACTACATAAAGCTCCACGACGACATCTTGAACAACCGTAGACCTCCCAGATACCTGGTATATTTTTGTGGCGGTAAAAGATACGGTTGCGGCGGTTACGGGAATCGTTTGGGGGCAATGACCTCTCTTCTTTATCTGGCTATTATTACGAATCGGGCTTTCATCATAAACTGGAACACCAGTGTACCACTAAGCGACTACCTTCTACCCAAGAACATCAACTGGAATGTTCCCTTGTCCAAGCTGGCTCACCTAAAAAAGAATTACCATTATTGGGGAAAAGGAGATCCGCAGATGGTCACCGGAGATTATCATAGATCATCGTTCGATTTTAACGCTTTTCGTAGCTGGGTAGAGGAAACAGATCCCGAATCGTATTTAAGCTCGCCTGTAGAAATCGTCACGAGTTTGTGGTACTTTGCCCCGAGTTTTCGCCAACATAAGTTCGCCGAACGTTTGGCAGACAAATTTGGAACAAAACAGCGAGGTCATCGGTACTCGCTCGTAGGTTGTGCGTTCGACTTCTTATTCGAACGAAGACCTTTGTTCGAGAACGCTTTATCGTTGGCGCGCGAATCGCTGAAATTTAAGCCTGGCGTGCCTAAGATTGGGATTCACGTCAGAATGGGAGATGCGTCGTTCAACGGGGAATCATTAGATCAGAGGACTACAAATTTTAAGAAATTTTTCAGCTGCGCTAAGAAGTTTGAAAAGTCCATCATGAGAACGAGTTACCCAAATGTTAGCCGAGAGGACATTAAATGGTTTTTAGCGACAGACAATCTGGATGTGAAGCAGTTCGCGTTGAGAAAGTACCCCGACAAGGTATTAACGCTATCTGTAGAAATTGAGCACATAGATAAGAATGAAGCCACAAACAACGGGATGCAGGGAGTATTACTCGACCATTTTCTACTGTCAGAGTGTGACTTCTTGGTCATGTCTGACAGCAGCTTTAGTAAAACAGCACTGGGTTTGAATTTTCATTCGACGGTGGTCAGTACATTCGGCGAGAAATGCAGGTATCTCACGTGACCAAGGCTTTTCCATGGCGATGAGCTAAAGTATTACAGTTCACGTTCGCTGTCCTGACGATCAAAAGAAACAGGAGATTGTACACGAACGAGGAGTTGGTTCGAGTCCAAGAGGACTGAAGGAGCAACAGTTTTGAAACTGTCTCTTACACTCCCAAGAAACACTGAAGAAATTAAAGAAAACATCCCTGAAGTCATCTGTACAGTGGTGCCCACAAAACACCGTCTGGACGCTCATTGATTTCTTAATGGAAAAAAAAAAGAATGGAAAAACTAAGTAGTATATTAAATAAGGTGTTTTCTTTTCCTGTCAGATACAAATTTGAAAAGAATTTTCTATTACAAAATAACATAAAAATTAATGAAAAGACTAGCGATGTGCCGTAGCCATTTCCCTCAGTGTTCTTGTCAAATTTTTACCAAAAGACCAACCATCGATTTCCTTACACGTTACACGAGTTTTTCTCTTTGTTATTCTCATTTTCTACAGTTGTCGTTTTCTCATTATTTCCATCTACAACCAGGACTCGTTTAGTTTAAATGTTTTCTGCAGTCTTTCATAAAGGCGCCTGTTCGTTCTCTTCGTAATAATATCAGTCGCGCGTCTAACCTAAGCAGTTTCCATTTTCGTTTCGCTTTGAAAATTACATTCCGGCGGGCATGTAGCCGTTAGATGAGAACCGCTACAATTGGGCCTGATCTCAGGTTATCGCGCGTCTTGCTCTTTTTCCTCTCTTTTCCTCTTGGTTTTAAAAAGCATAACGCAGTTTCCTACTATTTTCAGCCCACGCGATAGAAATGAACTACACATTAATATGAAATGAATCCCAATCGAACAATGTAGCCGATTTCAATTCACTGTGTATACCCCTGTTTTGAGTCAAATGTGGATTAAGCATCACGTTCCACCTATGATCACAGATAGTCATAAAAGAAACTAAGCAGGGGTGAGTTTACTCCGAGGTAAAAAGAAGCCCTTTAGAGATCTCAGTTTAGTACTCACCCCCCCATAATCTGAACATTCCGTGACGATAATGTGAAGGAAACCAGTGTTCTAAATCGTATGTGTGCACATTGCAGTGAAAATCAGATGTAAAAAGCTTTTAAAAGTTGCTATTTATTTATTTTGAAGATCAGAACATGTAAGATAGATATATGAGTACTTTAAAAGTAAAATTTCTCATTTCAAATATTTCCAGTTTGTCTTTTGTTTTAATGTGGGTGGTGGTATGAGGTGCTTCCTAGAGGCTGTTTTCATTTTTTTTACCAGAAAACCGGGCGGGTGGTGGGGGGGTTTTCCCTCATATAAACTATATAGGTATGTGCCTCCCCATTGGGTAGGGTTTTTGTGCTGTTTTGGTTTGAAAACGAGAATACATTTTGCCCATTTTGGTCTCGAATCGGGTATGATTTTTGAGGGAATTACGGGAGTGTATGAGCGTATTTGTTATGAGTAAGAAAGAAAGAGAAATACGCAAATTTGAAATGAATTTGAAGAAGTTTTTTGTTTGCGCCCCAATCTGAGTAATGATAACATAATTTCTGCCCAAAGGCCAGGTCTGAAAACGGGTATGGATTTTAGAGGTCTGGTCTGAGAACGGGTGTGGAAAATTTGGTCTGAAATAGGGTCAGGATTTGGAGAACAGGGTGGCACACCCCCACTAAGAATTTCCAGGAGTCCCCCCCCCCCCGGCCAGAAAAAAAGGTAAATATATAAATGTGCTTACAAGCCGTGGCAAATTTTATGACCAGAATCAGGAGCTCATTTTCAGGAAAGAGCAATTGCTACACTAAGCTCATTAAAGGCCTTTTTCACTGACCATTTTGACTTTCGACACATATGAATGCACTTTTCCTATCAAATGGAAGTACTGCTCCGTATGTATGTGTATCCATAGAATAAACTGGATCTGTAAGTTGATAAAAAATCCAGTGGCAGTATGTAGAAAGGAGTCTGCGGCATTCAACCGCTCATTTTTCCCCACTGTCCCCTCCCCTTATCACAAGGACTAGATGAGTGTCCCACCCCACCCCACCTCTCCTCAAGCTCTGGATCCCCCAACGGGGATCAGCAGATCAATCAACCTCATGCCCATGATTTTTGTTTTTCCTGTGCCCTGGAGCAAGAGTATTTTTGGCATTTTTCTTGTTTTTACCTTTTCCTTAACTTTTTGCAGTTGACTGACTGTTTTCTTCTTTTAGTTTTTCCCTTTTTCTTAACTCATTACATTCAGTTTAAACATTGTGCCTTATCTCAGTTTGTTCCAGAAGCAAAAATTGCATCATTTAATTCAATATCTTCATTTTTCATCCAGAAAACAAAAATGTTATTCCCCCTCAACTTATTCTTCTGGTGCAACAATAATCTTTATGTTGCAGCATCAGGTTAAAAACATTGCTGCTTTCTGGACACAAAAGGTCTTTCATAGCAACTGTGTTCTAGTTAAGCCACATCCCAAGAAAGATTCTTCATATTCAGTCTTTGGGTGGAGTGTCACACCATAACATAGTAAAATTAGCCAATGATACATAGCCGTGCCTTAGGCACTGCCCTGTTGGCTTATGTTGAAAAACAAATAAATACACAGGCTACTAGCACTCCTTCTGTGTTCTTAATTTTTCAAGTGAAACTTGTGAGGAAGAAAATAGCCCGTGAATACAGCCGTGTTCCTCGCTCCTAGCTTGCCTGTGTCGCAAGCCTTTCTTAATTCTGTGCGAGTTTGATGAGAAAGTTGGGACGAGAGCAAAAACGGGCAATGGTAGGGGAGGGGGAGGGGAGAGGAGTATATTTAAATACACATCAAAAACTGCAGTAAGTTGTTTTACTTCTCTACCTTTTTTGACAACCACTGCACCAAACATAAAAGTTGAAGATAAAAATTAATCATGAAAAATTACATCTTGTTATGATACACATAACCTATAAAAATATACTGCTAATCTCCCCTGTCAAGGCCAATCTGGACATGCACAGTTTTTCCTTGATAACTGTACAAACACATGCTGCTCATGTCATTCCATAATATTACCATTTACTTGTGTACAATTTGTAGCTAAGATGTGTCACAATGTTGCAAAACACCTTTTATGATATTGCATTACAATCAAAAACACCTATTACAAATTGTGATAATTTTTCTTCAAAAAAGAGGGAATCATTTTTCATACATAAGGTCAGGTTTTACCCTTACTTTTGTTGTCAAAACTTCCATTTTTTTGCATATGAAACATAGTTATTCCTGCAAAAAAAAAATAAAAATGAAAACTTACTGCTCCAACATCTCAATAGACCTTTTCTGCATCCTGCCCCAGGCAGTGATTACACACAATTTAACAAGGTCAGTCAGGCTAGTCATTCACATCATAGTTAATAGATTGGAATGGTTATGAAGCCCGTCAGACGCCTTTGTTATATGTTTTTGTGGACTTGAAGGTGCATAAAGTTCAATAGCGTTCCTAGCATTTTGATCTTACCGACCAATAAAAACATCCCTTTAATTTATTCCGTCACAATTTGCCAACAGAAAACAAAGGATTGTGCACCTTCACGGAGCTTCCAACATAAAGCGCAGTATCTTTGTTTTCATATGTTTCTTGTCTTTCATAACCAGTCTCCTCTGATAACTATGTTCACATACTGATAGTACAAAACCGCCATGTTGGAGAGAAAGGGACTCACTGGAACGAGACAGACAAAAGACTTGCATCATTTTAAATAGTTATTTTGTCTGTTAGTTCGTCTTATCCACTGTGTTTCTTGCTCTCCAGTGGGCCCTTTTTGTACCTCATGAATGTCTGGCCTCAATGGACCAGTTCCATATGAATCACTGTTTTTTTGTGGTCCCAAGCCTTAAGTCAGAGCATTTGTTCACAGGAATGAACAGTCTACTTCAGTATTATTTACCGTCAAGCATACCCGAAAGATGCCATTAACAAATTTATCATTCAAAAGTTGAATCTTTTGGTAGTTATAGACTTCCGATTCACCTCAGCATTCTGCATGTGTAATGAGCGGTGAATTCACACATGAGGTAGTAATGAAATTTCTACCAGCCCTGTTTCCTGGAATTTGATGTGAATTTCTTTGAAGCAATTTTATCCATTCAAAGATTTTTAATCTCACCAAATATAAAGACGTTATCATAAAATATTCACTGTCCATTACGCATACAGGAATGCAGATTTGAATTTGACACTAGTTATGGGAAAGACAAATGCCGATTAATTTTTCAAATAATCAATGAATAATTAATTGAGAATCTGACCTGGCTTGACTGTAACACATTAAAGGTTCCTGTCATTGTAATTGAACAAAAATAAAATAAAAACCTGCTTGAATGTTTGAGACCCTAACACATTCACCAGCAGCCACCTCATGGGATATGGGACTGTTGTGATGAATCTACATCAGGAGCCCAAGGGGGAGGGTACTCTTGGTGGTTTTCAATTATTGGGGTGGGGTGAAGTTTTTTAAAAACACTGGACTGAGTGGCATTTCAGACCAAAATACACCATCTTCAGCCCTACTTAAGTCGTAATTCCCATTCCAAAAATTAAAATAATATTGAGTGCCCAGGGGGGGTATTCGGGATTTCAAGACAGTGACGGGGATGATCGAATGGAGCCAGAAATCAAGACCCAAAAAAATCCTTAGGGCTTCCAGCAAAACCCAAAAAAATCCCTGGACCAAAAATTAACCCCCAAAAAATCCCATGCCGATTTGGTAGCCCTTAAAAGTTCCAGAAAGTGGTAATGCTATAACACAAAGAAAAACATTCGAAATTTAAACAACAGCAAAACACGTTTGTTTGTACTTTATTCGCAGAACTACGCAGCCAGGGCACTACCGATTCTTTTTAATACCCCCAAAAAATCCCTACTCAAATCAAGCTACCCAAAAAAATACTTGCCAAATTTTCCTACCCAAAAAAAATCCCGGAATTGAAAATTTCAAACCCCAAAAAATCCTTCGATCATCCCCGTCACTTGAAATCCCGAGTACCCCCCCCTGGGATTGAGTGACACTATTGTTTACCCCAAGTTAATGTCTCTTCTTTACTTGCGATTAAAAAGAGGTTTCTTATTTCAACTTAGACCAAAATATTACAAAATAAAAATATTGTTCATACAAAAAATAATGGCTAAAAGTGGGCCACTACCATGTATCAGCATTATAGGTATGTGCTGCTGCAAAGTTTTTAAGAAATTTAGTCTGGGATAGGAGATAGAAATTAATCAAGAAATCAGGGGATGTTTTTCCCCTCTCAACTCATGTCCCTAAAGCCTGGTTCTCATATGCCGCCGATGTATCTGTGATGTAGCTGCCAGTACCACCTGGGCTACTTTTCGGACAAGTGATATTGTGTGCCGCCAGCAATAAGAGCCATTGCAGAGCTGTACTGCCGGCATCCCTGTGAGGTTGAACTCGAGTCAACTTTGCAGGCATGCCGGCAGTAAAGACTGGGATGACCAATATTGCTGACCACTTCTGTTCTCATATTGGAACAGTATCCCAGGCAGTACCGGTGCATTGGCGGCATATGAGAACCAGGCTTAACTGTCCCACAAGTGGCTACTTGTAACAAGCCATTTCTAAGTTCCAAAAACTCCCACTTTTAAAATGAGGCTAAGTGCAAAACCTTTCTCATGGAAATGAGATTTATTTACAGGATACTAAAAAATCATTTTCATATAAATAGCTTCGCACTTATCCTTGCTTTGAAACAGAGGCTTGAGGCAACTCGGAAACGGCCTAATCCGCAACTGCAATGAACCTATTATATAATGCTACAACTATTCCTACTTTTTAGAACTCTGCTGAAGCTTCATCTCTAGCTGAGCAATTTTCATGTCTTTTTCTAAGAGTAAAGCTTGCTGCTTTTCAGTCTTTTGCTGTAGAGCGCTTCTTTCATCTTGTAGTTCTGACACCATCTTCCCATAGTACTTCTTGCACATGTCCAACATGGTCCTGTAACTTTCTGCATCCATTTCCTCCAATTCACCTGCTTGATCATCACTCTGTTCACAAGCAAGCTGTTTCAAGTTAAACCTCCTTTGTTCTTCATTAAGTCGAATTTCTTCCAGATCGAATATCAGAGTTTGTGTCATGGATTCCACAGTTCCTTTCAACGCTTCATTTTCTTCTTTTAATTTCTCTAGTTTAGAATCATCATCCTCGTTATTGCTAGAGTTTTCACTTAAGCTGTCCTCATTGCTAGCGGCTACAAGGAAATTTTCACCACCTTTCTGCTTCGCCTGAAGTTCGTTGGCCAGTTGTAACGCCTTGTCTCTTTCGCTCTCCAAAGTCCTGATTTGTTCCAATAAAGTCATTATTAAAGACTCGCTGCTCGAATATGCCATGCCGTTTATATTTTGTTTTCAAAGACGACGCCCATATAAAATTTAATAAAATGCAAACGTCCTGCTTCTAAATTAAAGAGAAATAAAGTGCCGAAGGCCAACAGGAAATGAACATGCTAGTTCAGTTGAACAACTTCCAAAAGATTTTAGTTTCGAAGGTTGTTTCCACCGTCAGATCCCACACGTGTCGAAACTTAGAATCAATTCAAGCTAATTGTTTTCATAAACTTTGGCCAAATACATGTCCAAATGCATGGCCCCTCAGGCAGCCATCTTTGAAAGAGACTCACATTGCATTGTGGGCCATATTCAGTCAGCGGTAACTCGAGGGTTGAGCATTGGAGAAAGATGATGGAAAATTAACAAATATTACGAAAAAATACATGATATTTATCGTAACCCAGCAATGTTCGATAATTTTAGAGACCGCTTGCAGACCGTACAGCATGATCTGAGTAAAGGGTAAGGAATTTTTTTTTTTCAATAACTGTGTTCAGTCTTTCAAGTCCATGTTTAGGTGGTCGTTCATCTGCAGTTTAACTTTAATACACTGTGTAATGGTGTTTTGTTTTATTATCTTCAACAACTTTCGTAAGGCATCGTTGTTCTTTGTCCATGCAGGTGGAAGTCAATTGCTGACAAAGCTAAAGCTGTCAACAAGAAAATAGTCCGGTGAGTTGAAAAAAAAAAAAAGTAAAATGTTTAACAACCCCTGTTTTGTTAAAAATTTAAACGATAGAATAATAGGTCATGGTTCTTTTTTGGTAAAATGTAAGCTTAATTTGTTCTAAATGACTTTTTAAAACCTTTTTTTCTTTGGTCCTGATAGGAAAACCACATTTATTACAGATGAAATAATTGAAAGGTGTGTATACAAAGTCAGAATATTAATGCAGCTGTGTGCATGATTCTCATATAAATCATAGGGCAGAACCCGTGGGTGGGGGGAGGGGTGGGCCAAGGTGAGGGAGTTACTGTTTTGTATAAGCTAGGTAGTTGCAGTGCCAAAAGTGTGGTTTTTATTTTAATTCTTTATGTTTAAAATTGAGTGTAGATTTTAGAGTTTTGGTCTGGAACCAGCCTCTGGGATTACGTATGTTTTCAATATTTTGTCTTTTGAGAATGGCACATTAGTTCCAGACTTGCTTGACTTTTCTTAAATGTTATTTCTTTTCAGTGGTGATCAGTGCTTTAGTTGTAATCTTGAGGCAGGCTCTGAAATCCTGAGCAAGTAAGGATGACACTGATTGAATTCTCACTTAATAGATCTACACTCTTATAGAATAGCAAAATTCCCTATTATTGTTAGCCTGGGAAAACAGCTCGAATTTGTGATGCCACTGGTTTCTCTGCGAAATGATGTCTGATAAACAAAAACAGAAATTTGTTACTGATTACATGTCACTACCCATATCTGGGTAATGCTTCTGATTCGACACTATTGACTGTCTCTCGGTTGACAGTCAGTCAATAGTGATGACCGAGAGTCGGTCAATAGTTGGTTGACACTCAATCCCCATATCGGTCACTACTTGCGTTGATATGTTGGTGGAGCATCGGCCCAAATTGGCCTCTGTCAACCAACATGAATGTTGGCCGATTGTCGTCCGCTAGTTTGTCGACATTTGTCAGACATTTGCTCAGCCCCACTAGCATTAGTGCTACAAATACTGCCGTGGGTTAATAACAGAGCTGTTATTATTATTATTATTATTATTATGTCTATTTTTGGGTTGACAAACACAGTGCATTGCAACATTTCTTGTCAGTAATCTGTACTGGTAATCTTAAAGAGGACAAAACAATGGCTTAGCGCTTCTAATTTTCACCCAATATAAATGTATATAATGTATTATTGTGTCTGTAGGTATCAAAAGGAGTGGGCTGAGCTTCATGCAACATCCAGAGAATGTGCAACAAGAGCTCAGGTTTATAAAATTATATAATTCACTAATAAACAGTGTATTAATTTACATTCAGTACTATGTGTCGTGTATAAGTTTCTGCGTGGAATAAATTCCGCTTATGACACAAAAGTTGATTTTGTCTGTTGCCATGTACAGTTATTTGTGTATTGCTCTTTTAATCATGTGAGAGGTGGCAATTTCTGACTCATTAATATATGTCATCTTAAATACAAATGTAGCAGAAATTGATTGTTCATTTCAGGTACAAAATCCAACAAGTTCCTAGAATGGTATCAAAAAACATTGTAAGGTGTGGGTATTAGGTGTGCATTAAGTTACCATGTCTGGTCATTGTTTTTCCCTCTTTTCAATATATAATGTACTTTTTTGTTGTTGTTGTTGTTCTAGAATGCAGACCAGGTTATTATAGAGTTTTCCAAGAAATGTACTGAACTTGATACCTCCATGACAGTATTTCACAACGAGCTGAGTCTCTTGCCAGAAGTTATAAAGAACATTGAAACAGCCAAGGCTGATATAGGTCAGAGTAGCCAGTCTAGTGACCAACATCTTATACTTGATACCAATAATAATGCATAAGGTGATGAGGATATCAAGGATGTAATAATCACCACTTGAAAGGTGGACTCTCAATTTGTGAACAAATAAAATTCTCACCATCACATACAGAAAAAAATTTTTTCAACCATGTGGAGAATATTCGTGTTGGTATTTGTTAAGAGGCTTAGAATAGGAAGCTAAAATTCGAGAGACTTGAACGATCCAAAAGGGCAAATTCGCAAATATGATTCTAGTTAAATTTCCACTGTCTTAAAGAGACCTGCAACCCAAGGATGGCAGCTATTTTAAGTTTCTTTTCATTTTAATAGTAAAATCAGCCTCACTAACCTTAACTTCATCAAAATTCGAAAGAATTCAAAATATCTTGAGTGACATTTGTGAGGCTGACTCTTATATTTAAGAAAAGAACATCAAACTAGCAGCCATTTTTGGTTTGGGTCTCTATAGATGCCCTGTACCTTTCACAAATAGACCCAACAAAGCAAAACCAGAAACCGATATTGAAAGCCTGAAAAACTACTTTTCATTTCGGTGAACAACTCACTAAAACCAAAAAACTAACCTAAAAATTAGTGACGTTGTGGTGCCCAAATCTCTAATGCTCCCCAAGTTAAACTTAATTTACAGGGTTGTACCTTCTGTAACTAATTAGCTGTTATATTTTAGATGCCATTGGAGGCCAGATAGAGGTTTTAGATAACTTGATGGTTGACTTAGAAGACGTTTGTGAGCTGCTGGACTTGGAAAGAAGAAAAGCTGCCCAGGAACGCAAACTTTCCATGCTAAGACACAACAGGGAGTGAGTTGTTTCTTTTTTTTTCCCTTAAGTGAATCTTATACAGTAGTACATCATGTTCACATAGTGTATAATGAAAGAGTTGGGAGTAGTTGAAGCCCTTTTTCTAGCTAATTCTTGTCATTTAGCTTTCATCAAAAGAAGGCTGGACAGCTGTCACGTGGCTACTTTTGTCGAATGAAATTTGTTGCTGAAAATGCTCATAGTGGACATGAGAAAACTTAGTAGGACCTTCCAACCGTGGTTATCATACCTCTTTATGTATTTTACGTCTAAGTACACTTAC